TCTTTCCTTCTGAAGGTCTTTGAAATGTAGCGCTGGTAAGTCTGGAAGCACATGAAAGCCGTTCTGTTTGTCTGGAAAAAACAGATATATATAAATATATATATATAATATCCGTCAAAGTATACATATACATATATGATGTGAAGGTAGTATTGTTAAACATATTAAAAACCTTATTAAATAGCATGTTAACATTAGCAGCTGTTTTGAAAGTGCATGAATTTCTCTAAGATGAAGCTTACCCCAAGAGCCTCTGCGATTTTGTCCCAATGGCAGCAATTGTATTCTTCTACAATTCCTTTCAGTTTAACAATCTCGTCCCGTTTCCATACTGACTTGTCAATGGAGGGGTGTAAATAGTTCTGCCAGAACCTTTTCAAATCATCAGCCTGTCGCAACGCTTCAAACTATCAAACACAAACAAGTTCTTTCATACTTTTGAAATGGAAAACTGATGTTATAAGACAGAACTAGATTTATTTGGATGCATCTTAATAAAATAACTTACGTCAATATTTGATATTTTCTCCCAGTCATGATCGTCATGGCGATTACCCAGCAGCTGATCGTCTTTCAGGGCACTGATGATATTATAAAGTTTGATTACACATTTTATTGCACACTAAGCACACAACCATTCAAAAGTTTGGGGGTCTGTAAGTTTTTTTTTTAATTGCTTTTGAAAGAAGTCACTTATGCTCCCCAAGGCTGCTTTTACAGTATTTGTTCAAAATACAGTAAAACAGTAATACTGAGAAATACTATTATAATTTTTCTGTGTTTTCTATGTTTATATATTTTTAAATCCAATTTATTCCAGTGATGTCAAAGCTGAATTTTCAGCAACCATTGCTCTAGTATTCAGTGCCGCATGATCCTTCAAAAATCATTCTAATATGCTGATTCGATGTTCAAGAAACATTTCTGATTATGATCACTGTTGAAAACAGTTGTGCTGCTTAATATGCATTTTTTTAGGATCCTTTGACAAATAGGAATTTCAAAAGAACAGCATTTATTTGAAATAGAAATTTTTTGTAACATTATAACTGCATAGAATTCTTTCAATAAATAAATAAATAACTCTAATCTTAAGGTGCTTAAAATACCTTTACCTTATTTCTACAATTTCTTTCTCAATTAAATCTATTTGTTTTTTCAGTTCTTCTTTTCCCTCATCAGCAGCTCTAGACATCTTGGCACTCAGATAGTCCAGCCTATGAAAACAAATGAAACATCTCAAACTCTCAAAATTTCTAAAAACGGCAATTTTCTACAAAAATACACACATACTTAAATTTACTGAGAAAGCAAACTTGCATTTCTAAATGCACAACTTTTTTTTGTATCCAAATAGAACAGACAGGGCAGATATTTAGGTTTGGTTTTCCTTTTTCCAGAACTCACTTGGATAATTTGGGTTGTAGCATCCGTTTCATAGTGTCTTTGGCGACTGCATTGGTCAGCAAAGTTTTCTGCCAACCGTCCCCTGAAAGAAATAACCAGCATTTTATTTTTATTAAAAAATCACTTAGATACAACTAATAAAAAGCAAGCATGCTGTCGCAAAACATACATCTTTTTATTTTCAGCTCATCAATGGGTCTGGTACCATGACTCAGCCTTGCTTTGGTTTCTTCATTTGCTGGAGGGCCCTAGAAGCAAACAAAACAAAAAATAATATGCAAATAAATAAATAAAAAATAATAATAATTCCGGGATGCAAGATCATAACATACCAGACTGGTGAGTTTGTCTTTGAAGTAAGGCTTCATGAAGTAGCCAAGAAATTGTTTCTGAGGGGGAATTCCTGGTAAGGAGGAGCTAGAAGTGCTTGGGCCAGAGATCTGGGCCTCAATCTCTTTCTGTGGAGGTACAGTTTAAAATAAAAGGCTTTAAAATGGTTCTGCTGTAATTAAGCTCATGCAATCGGGCGGCATGAAGACTCTGTTTCAATGAACTCCAGCCCTGATGTTTGTTGTTCACCTGCTGCTGTTGATTCTCATTGAGGAGTTGTTCCAGCTCAGCTAGTTTCTCTTTCAACACCTCCTGATAGACCAAATTCATCTGCAGGCAAGTCTCCACATTTTGAGGAAGATCCAACTCATCATCATCACTGTCTTCATATCTCTAATGAGAGCAGAACAATACCGTATTAGAAGCATTTTAAAACAATAATGGGAAAATATAATAGAAGCATATATCAAAGAAACAAAATGGTAACTCACAGAATCAGCGTCATGTTCACTCTCTGTTTTGCAAAAAAAAAAACAAACAAAAAAAAAAACATACAATTAAAGGGGTCATATGATGCGATTTCAAGTTTTCCTTTCTCTTTGGAGTGTTACAAGCTGTTCGTGAATAGATAAGATCCCTGAAGTTGCAAAGACTAAAGTCTCAAAACCAAAGAGATATTCATCAAAGTTAAGACTCTGCCACACCCCCCTAAAACGGCTCGTTCTAACACGCCCCCACATATCTACAGCTGGCCAATCAGAGCAGACTGCGCTTGTCGGAAGGAGGGACTTTGTAGAAAACGAAGCGTTTGAGAGAGGCGGGGCATAGAGGACCTACAATAATGTACAGTATTTGAAAAATAATGTGTTTTTTGAACATTAAAGCATGTCAACATATTCTGTTACACCAAATACACAAAATAATGATCTTTAAAAAAAGCATCATATGACCCCTTTAAGACAAATTAATTTACAAACAAATTATTTGTATAGCTGAAACAGCAGACCCAATACCCAATAATGAATTGCTACTGACTTATCAGATTATGCGTCATATATTTAAAGTTCCCATTGAGAATATAAGGGTTAATTTTTCAGGCTGATGTAAATCGCTATAGATAATAAGATATTATTTACTTTCCAATACATTAGCACCAAGTGTATTCTCTAACTCTTCAATCTCCCTCTGTATCCGCAGGCGCTCTGCCTCCAAGTCATCACGCTCCTAGAGGCAATTACAAGCAATATAAGAATAAAAAAAATAAAACATTACAAGAAGAATAGTACATTTTATTTCTATAGTGTGTTTAATTTCTATAGTAACCATTTGGCTTTCTAGATTCTTACCACTCCTTCAACTTCAGGTCCACTGTCATCAGATTCATCATCTGTCCCGGAAACATTATATATTACATTAATGTAAAGCACAGAGCACAAGTCAAAAACAAGGCTCCTACACTTTTTGGCCAAAACAATTCCATAACCTTTCCATCACCATTCTAGTCATGTGGGAATGGTGGGTAAGGATTTCATCAAAAAAAATTTAGATCACTAGTGAATCATTCAGAAAGTTTTGTGAACAAAATTTTTATCTAAAAGAATTATTCACTTATGATTAACTTGATTCACTCACTGGTAAATTAGTGCAATGGGATGCCCAAAAGACAGAGGAGAGACGGGCATCTCTCTCACAGATAGGAGACAGTGACTTACCATCACTGCTGCTGTCAGATGACAGAAGGTTTATAATGCTGCTGTCTGCACCCAGAGTACTCTCAAGAGCCAAAATCTCCCTCTGGATTTTATCCCTTTTCTCAAGTAACTCATTCGATTCCATGTTAGACAAGGTGAGACCTGAAAACATTTTACAGGTTACTGAGTTACAACATTGTACACTTTGCCAATGCGATCTTACTCATTTGCAGGAGTGTAAAGTACATAAATATTATTTTATATTAATATTATGTTTATATTGGGCATATTTCACTAGTCTAAAGAATTTCCTATAATTACAAAACAAAGTCTATTTTATTCTCTCCTGTGAATTTTAGTTTTACTTTCCATAAAACAGCCAATGAAACCACTATCATATGATCAAGCATCATTTTGAATCTACAGCAATGTTTTCACCAAAGATGGACTACAGCTGAATTTAAAATGTAAATAAAAAATATTACATATAAAAGTGTTTGTTACATATTTAAAAAACTGAGAATATTGAAAAGGTTGGTTTACAAAGTCTCTTGATTTCATTTTACATACAGTTCTCAAGTCCGAAGAAATGTAGATGTTTTTTTATTATTATTAATATATATATTTTTACTTTCACTCATGTGTGTGTTTGGTTAGATAGTAGATGTTTAGGTGAGTAATTTATTTTCTTTTGATTCAGTACCTACTTTCTCTATTTTTACCTGTAATGTTTCACATCTACTCAAATGTAATGCTGTAGAAATAAACAATAAAGCTTTAAACAAATCAGTCATTCTTGAGAAGTGGGACAAAATAGGGTGCAAAATTGAAAAAAATAAAACCTTGTACTCAAGACAAATTAAACTACATTTATGTATCTTATATGTACTAAGCTACTGAGCTATGCTTTGATACAATCTCCCAATTTTTCTCTTTTTTAACAAAATGTGCTTTTTTACCTTGGACTGTGTAATATAATTTCAACTGTATCTTTAACAGCATTCAAGATGTTTTTAACAGTTCAAAACACATTCTCGTGTTAGCTAGGGTGACCATACGTGCCATTTTACGAGGACGCGTCCTGGCCAGTATTTCTATATTGCCTAAAATATCTAAGTTTTGGCTTTGTTTGCGTGTGCAGACCGATCGGTGTATGACATCACATTAAAACCCTCTATATTCAACATACAATAAAAACTAGTCACTTCTAGACCACAAAGCAGAAAACACAGTACATGAGTATTTGGCAAAGGGAACAAACGAACAAAATATCTAACTTTAGTTGTCTGTCTGTGCAGTGCGGACATGTACTTACATTAGCTTTCCTTTAATGGATCGTTCTGCTGTGAGCTTCAATATTGCAGCTCTTCTATCAAAACAACACAACAAAAACACCTGCTGGATCCTGCAGCATCGCTGCACTTTTGTCCCACTCACTTAGGGACTTTGCAAACTAGATTTACACTTATTGCACAATAAATCAAAGTCGTTGCTTTTAATGGCTGTTTGCAAACAAAGATTTACATAAATCGTCCTTTAACTGTCAATAATAATTCTTCCCTGGTAAAACTACTCTACGCTCATGTAACGTCATGTGTGTACAAACGTGAAGCGCGCGTCAATAGTGCGTCATCTTCACCGACACTTCATAATAAAAGTCCCGGCGCCTCTCAGCTATCAAAGAATTAGAAGGTTTTAATGTTCATTACTACGTTAATTAATGAACATTAAATTTATACTTACTGCTTTAATATTTAGCATAAATATTTTATATGTTAAAAAAATTGATAAATAAAACGGTTTTAGTATCTATTAAATGTTAATGTAATGATTTAGAGATACTAATTGTTAAATTCTCAATCAACAACAGGACCACGTGACTGAAATAATCTTCGTTATTAAGTCAATAAAGTGCATTCTGAATATAAGGCACATCATCCAATGTTGATTAGTAAAGTATTTTTAAATAAACAAATGCTTAAAATGCTGTAATTTAAAACAGCAGAAATATAAAAATGTATTAAGTTATATATCAAAATATAATCAAGAATCGAAATCTGTTAAATAATGTGCAATAGAATTTTAAGAAGGGACTTGACTCATTGTTTAACAAAAGTGCAAAACGTTTTTGAAAATATTGTTTTCCACATACACTCCTACAATACAGATCTTTGATTTTGGTGAGAGAATCCAAGGCACTATTTGGTACACTTAAGTGTTTATATGCTTAAGTTCCTGCTAGAGCTTAATTTGATCATCATATTGCCCATCACAACTCATTTTGTTATTTCATAAAACCTAAACATGATGCTAATGAAGTTGGATGAACAAAATAAATAATGATGTACCACGGTCTAAATGCAGTGAGTCTATAGCAGGGGTGCCCAGACTCGGTCCTGGAGGGCCGGTGTCCTGCAGAGTTTAGCTCCAACTTGCCTCAACACACCTGCCTTCAAGTTTCTAGTATGCCTATAAGAGCTTGATTAGCTGGTTCAGGTGTGTTTAATTGAGGTTGGAGCTAAACTCTTCAGGACACCGGCCCTCCAGGACCGAGTTTGGGCACCCCTGGTCTATAGTGTACGGAGCATGATGTTTGCAGAAAAAACTTAATTATGAATCTCTGTGATCTTGTCAATAGATGTCAATAACTGGGAAACAAAACAGACTGTCTCTCTTCCTGACAGCAACTGCCTGTAAAAATACAAAACACATTCAGTGCAATGATATATTAATTTAATTGATTTACATTTCTGATCATTATTAAATGATTGTAGAAAAGCACAATAAAAAGTAATGGTCGTTGTTAATCATACTTGATAGAAGTCTCTGCATCTTGAGCTGCTTTGTTAAGGTACTCAGAGGCCACTTGTGCATTGTGTCTCATTGTAGTTAAGGCTGTAGTTTCTCCATATCTTAGCCTCTCATTTTCACTTTTATATCCTTCAAGCTGGCCCTGAGAAGAAAACATTAAAAATAAACACGATGGAGTTTTAATCTGAACAATAACAGAAGTGAAATAGATATCTTGATCACAAATTCATATTATACAGTAGTATATAGCTGTATTACATTATATATGTACCATTACATATAGAGTGCTTGTTATAAGTGCGCTTGTGCATATGGAAAGAAGTCAAACCTGGAGTTGTTGTATCTCTTGTTTCAATTTTGAAATACTATTTTCAGCTTTGACTGCTCGCTTCTGTATTGGATAAAACAGAATTTTAATTTCTTAAATGCAGTAAATAAAACATTTTAAAGATCTTTTCACCAAAAAAGATAAAAAAAGGTTTAATTTATTAAACCTTAATAAAAAATCTGTCATGAATGATAGCACAATGCTTAATACCGTCATTAACTTAAGGTTTTGTTCTACTGACTGCACCATTGTCTCCAAAGCCTTAGCCTCTCTCTCCTCCTGTAATTTCTTGCTGTGCAACTCATCAGTCAGTTGTTTGATCCTATTACAATCGGAAGGTTTAATTATGAGAAATCATCTAAAAACTACACAGCAGCAATACATATAAACTTTAATCCATTAAAGGAATGGTTCACCAAAAAATAAAAATTTGCTTAGCATTTACCCTTAGGCCATACAAGATGTAGACGAGTTTGTTTCTTCATGGACTGGAGTCGTGTGGATCACTTATGGATTATTGTGATGTTTTTATCAGCTTTTTGGACTCTCATTCTGACGGCACCCATTCACTGCAGAGGATCCATTAGCAAGTGATGTAATGCTAAATTTCTCCAAATCTTTTCCGATGAAGAAACAAACTCATCTACACCTTGGATGGCCTGAGGGAGAATACATTTTTATTTTTGGCCAAGCAATTCTTTAATTACCTCAAAATAATTTAAATTATTTGTTATTTTACATTCAGTAATGTAACATATTATTTGTGTAAATAGCCTACCTTTTGGAGTCAGATTCTGACCTTCCAAGGAGTAGGGAATTCTCTTCTCTGAGCTAAAACACATGAAACACAAATTTACATTTTTGAAAAGCAGCAATTTACCAATTATAATATAACAACTGGCTCATGTATATCCAAAACCTCACACCTTTCTCAATTCACACAACATACCTGTTGGGGATTCTTTGTGCCATTTTCAGCATTACTCCTCTTAGGATGGAAGGAAATGTCAATCACTGAAGTCTCTTCATCACCTTCATAGCTTCCTGTGCTTCTTCTAGCTAAGTGGTCCTTTGGCAGGAAGTCAGAATCACCCAGTTCCCATGCAGTTACATTTGCTTCCTTCTCATCACTGCTCAGAGATGATTGCTCAGAGTAAGCGCTGAGGTCTAAAGTGCCACATAGATCGAAGTCATGAGAACCATCAAGGGCTGATGGGTGGCAGCTTTCAATCCACGTCTCCTCAGGTTCATTTGCACAAGGCTGACAGAGCACAGAGGGGTCTGTGAAGAAAGGCCCCTTCGTGGCAAAATCTATGGAGGTGTTATAGTCCTGCTCGACGTGGCATGCTCCACCATACACCTTTGTAAAATCAAAAATATATGAAACATTATTTAAAAAAAAAAAAAGACAAGAATCTACCAGCAATGAGATTCTGCATAAACTTACTTTTGTTCATTGGCAAGTTTTACATTCATATCTGTAAATACACAAATGTGAACCCTACTTTAATGTCTTTAAAGGAACATTAAAGTAGGGACGTCAGTCAAAAGTCATATCATCTACTAAACCTTAAAATCCTTGTCATGTTGTTTCTCACCTCTTTGGCTTCTGTAAGACAGGGCTGCTGGTTCTTGTTTCTGATGAACTCCTTGAAAGAAAATGGATTCAGCGCATCTTGCTTTGGCTCATCTGAAAGTTAATTTGTACATGCGCACAAAAGACATTAAAAATGAAGATTTTAAGCACAGGATGCTCTAATACATATTCAAGACAGGCAGCTAGTGCTGCTTTATTATCATGTTGCATTATAGAAAGAGAGGAAAAGACAAGCAGGTTGACACGTACCATCTTCAATGATGAGCTTTGTCGTCTCGTGTTTAGACATGTTATCTTACAGAATCAACTTAACCAGATACGTAAACTATCCAGCAGACTGTAATTGCTAAATCCTTGAGCTCAACATTACACGGTCAGTAGGAGAGGAAAAGCGATGAAGTACAGCAGAAAGTAAAATGTATTCCCAGTAAATGTTTCGTTTAATTATTGTCAATGTCAAATATTATGTCATAAACCATAATTCATTACTGTATTTTACAAACAGTACTAATCTCCCGCAATTCTAATGTCTCTGCTTCTGTATGGCAGAGAGCAGCTTTTCTACAGGAAACATGTGTCAGATCGCCACCTATTGAGGTGGAGATACAAGTTTACAGATCGGAGAGATGGTTGATGTTTAGGTATGGGAAATGCTGACTATGCTGTTGTTGCATATTAAATGACAAAAAGATATTAATTTAGATTATTCTGATATAGCAAAACATTTCTAGTGTATTCCAGATTTTTAAACCAATAGTTTATCGGATATAATATTAATTAAATAATAACTAATAATGAAATCTTAATGACCTTGTCGACATTTTACATTGTAATGTAAATGCAGCACGAATTAACAAGAATCTGCAAACCTGAACAGACAAGTTTCTTATGCAGCATTAAAAACTGACTCTTTAATTATTATTCTACCTAAATGCAAATAATATTAGTTAACTTATTATGAAATTTCACTTGTATAAGTGTGAAGTATATAAGTATATGCAATATCAGTTATTTTAAAACGTGTATGATCATTTTAGGAGTTGTTTAACGTTTACATTATTCACTTTCTTTCTTTCTTATTTATTTATTTAAATAATTATCTGTGTTTGTCAGTTTTTAATCTACAGTCAGTTTTTTTGTATGTGGTTTATAATCACAATTTGACATTTACTTCAATTGTAGTATTATACGGGTATCACACTGTTTGTAAGAGTCTTGTAGGTCGGTAGATAACTGGAAGCGGCTGGGCGACAGAAAGTTTTACAGAATCTGAATTTTCGGTATGCTTTTCTCAAAGTACAGATGAAAACAGCCCGTTGTTTTCAACGGCAGAGCTGTGCTCCAGCTTTTAGGCATCGCCGCTCCCATCCGAGGCTGTTTTGAGAGTCTGCTGCACGACGCGTCTGCATGTACACGTACTTCCACCAATCACAGTCCGCAACCTCACGCATGCGCGACCGACCGCTGTCGCTCTCGCGTTGCAGGTGTCAACAGAGCGAGCGTCCCTGCTGCAGCTGGAAACCTATCCGTCCCGTCGAAAATATATCAGTCCTATGGAGCGGGCGGGCAGTACAGATCGGATGGCCTGAAAATGTTCGAATGAGACCGTGAGCTCGTGTCTGTTGCCAGGGCAGGTTTAAGCGGGGAAGAGGGCGGCTTTCCGGGCTGTAGACAGTGGGCTCGCGGAGCGTCTTCAGCGGGGAGCGCTGCGGTCCTGCCGCCGCCGCTGCTGCTGCTACAATGTTCGTGCAGGAGGAGAAGATCTTTGCAGGCAAAGTCCTGAAGGTCCACGTCTGTACCGTGGAGGGTACCGAGTGGCTGGAGGAAGTCACGGAAGACACCACTATAGAGAAACTCAAGGAGAAATGCTTAAAGCATGTAGGTCTGCCATCGGTTAGCTGGCACTGTTAGCCAACTCGGACAGGACAGGCCCGCTGGATTCTCCGAGTCATTGCCAAGTATTTTTTAGTAACTAGTAGACGAGTCGACAGTGCTATTTATAATTTAGCAAGCTGGTCTGTCACCTCCGTCTCTATGGCTGTACTGTAACTACCACTGTCACCCTGGTTGGTTTACTGTGTAGAACTGACATTAACTCGTTGACAGCCTCTTTTTGTTCACAATTTATCTGTCAAGTACGTTACTCAGATCTGTGTAGCTCAACTCACCTTGACACCCATTCATATTTTCTGTGAGGATTTGATTTGCACACTTCATGGCTTTAAGGTTGTGAATGTGTTTGTAATCACTTGACTGTAGGTCAAGCCATGTTCTGACTACAAGGTGCAATGCGGGCTGAAAAGTACCATGGTATTACCCTGTGCTTAATGGCATAATGTCACAATTATACCAAGTTTTATGGACTTAAATAATGACAATATCATGGTGTTCTTTGAAGTACCTTGGAGTATCATGTAAAAAGCAGGATACATTAATTATTCAGTACCAGGTAACATGGTAACAATTGACGCCAACTGTACCGTGGCACTACCACAGTACTGGACCCCACTGTAAGTGGGTTGAGCTCATGATTGTGATTTTTATGGGGTAAATGTACTGTTCAAAGGTTTGGGGTTGTAAGATAGCAGCACTTTTGCTGCTACTGAGGTGGGATTTGGTTAAGGTTAGGGACAGGTTTGGTGGTATGGTTAGGTTTAAAGGTGGGTTGTGGTGTAAGGGTTGGGTCGACAGTGTATTTCTGTAGTATGTGTATCTACATTCAGGTATTTTTCAAATATTGGTACTGTACATGTATGTGCTCAATAAGTACATTGTATCTATTGATTATATATTTCAATGTTAGTACATAGTAGTTAAAGACACTACATTTGTATTTTTCTTCTCTTACAGTATGTCCATGGAAGTCTAGAGGATCCTAAAACTCTTACACATCACAAACTCATTCATGCTGCCACTGAGAGAATTCTCACCGAATCCAAAACAGCTGCTGAGGAAAATCTTAAAGACAAAGGTATTTAAACTTACCGGTGCATCTGGTGGTTCTTAACATTTTTGACTCTGAGGCCCTGCATTTTTCACGACAATATTCAAAGGCCCCCGTGATTTTTCCAGGTGTTTGTTATTTTACTGGGTAAGGATTAAGGATGAGTATTTTTAGAAATATTTTTTCTCACAATTTCTACCAGGTTGAATATTTAAAAAAATGTTGTTGAGGGAGTGAATTGAACTAAGAAATATCTTTATTTTTAATTGTTTTAGCTGTTATTAAATACTTTTTTTTTTCTCCATTCACCATTAAATTAAAATGGACAATTTTTTTATTTTTAAATGGAATTTTACAGTGTTTATTAAATTATCGATCCATTCACATCATTTTTTTTTAAATTTGTGTGCTCTTGTAATCTTTAATCAAATACATTAACTTTTTTCTTGTCTGAGAAGTCGTTTTACTCACATATACGTCACAATAGAGAAAAAGATGAACACAATTTCCTTTCATGCTGAATTTGAATCATTTAAGTCATCTTGAGGCGCCTTTGGAAGTTTGCTAAGGCCCTCTATTGGGTCCCAGCCCCTGGTTAAGAACCACTGATCTAGGGTGTAGTCATGTTTTGCATATGTTCTTTGTATTTAAAATCAGATTCTGACAGGCATGAATCCTGATTCATTTTTGTTTGTTTTCTAGACTGCTTATTATTGATAAAGAAAAGACCTCCGCAGGCTCCACCAAAAATGGCTGACGTATCTTCTGAAGAGAAGGTATCTGGTGACAGTTTTCTTTTTGGGTGAACTCTTCTTAATTGATGCTATGCATTACACTTCTAAGCTTTGTGATTCTGCAAAGTTGAGCAGTGTCTGTGCTTGTTGACAGAAGAAGCAAGAGAACAAAGCGCCAGATAAGGACTCCATCCTCAAAGCCACAGCAAACCTGTCCACTCGCAACACTGACCGTGCTGTAACTCAACACAATATCAGAGATGTGGGTGCATGCAGTTTATTCAGTTAGATTTTTCTGCAGTGCAATTGTTCAGAATATATTGTTTTACATTGTATAATTTATTTTGTCTCCTTCAGTTTCAAACAGAGCTGAGGAAGATTCTGGTCTCACTTATTGAGGTGGCTCAGAAGCTGCTGGCTCTGAATCCAGATGCTGTTGAGCTCTTCAAAAAGGCCAATGGTAAGCTATGGATAGAGACCAGAATGGATCAAATCAGTTTAAGCCTTGGTGAAACAATTAATTACCATGCTTTTCAGATATCTACCATAGGTTTTTCTGATATATTATCTATCATATTATTTATTAATCTGACTTATTATTTAAGTACCATAGAGTAATATTGCTGTGCAATAGTACTGCCACAGTACTTTTTTTTTCAAGAGGTCATTATTAACCTACTTTATTTTTGATCTCTGATAACCACTCAGAATATCTGACTGGTCAGTGTGCAGGTGTAAATATAATTTTGCTCTCTTAGCAAATGATGGTGAATGGTTGTTCTTTGTGTCTTCTCTCTCTGGCAGCCATGCTGGATGAGGATGAGGAGGATCGTGTGGATGAAACGGCCTTGCAGCAGCTGACTGAGATGGGTTTCCCTGAGAGTCGTGCTGTGAAGGCTCTACGCTTAAACCAGTGAGTACTCTCACTTAGGGAATCCTCAAACCCTTTTTCTTATGTTTCAATAATCAAAGTGAGCATCTGTAAGTGACACATCTGTTACCAGTGAACTAGTGACTGAAGTATTTTCTTGTATATAAGGATACAATTTTAAAGGAGTAGTACACTTCCAGGATGAAAATTCTGTCATCATTTACTCACCTCCAATTGTTCCAAACTTGGATGAGTTTATTTATTTTGTTGAACACAAAAAAAGATATTTAGAAAAATGTTGGTATCCAAACAGTTGATGGGCACCACTGACTTCCATAGTAGCAAAAAAAATAAATAAATACAATACTGTGGAAGTCAATGGTGCCTATCAACTGTTTGGATACTAACATTTTTCAAAATATCTTATTTTGTTCTTGTATATAAGGATACAATTTTAAAGGAGTAGTACACTTCCAGGATGAAAATTCTGTCATCATTTACTCACCTCCAATTGTTCCAAACTTGGATGAGTTTATTTATTTTGTTGAACACAAAAAAAGATAATTAGAAAAATGTTGGTATCCAAACAGTTGATGGGCACCACTGACTTCCATAGTAGCAAAAAAAAAAATAAATACAATACTGTGGAAGTCAATGGTGCCTATCAACTGTTTGGATACTAACATTTTTCAAAATATCTTATTTTGTTTTCAACAGAAGAAAGAAACTCATCCAGGTTTGGAACAAGTGGAGGGTGAGTAAATGATGACAAAATTTTCATCCTGGAAGTGAACTACTCTTTAAAGGTACATCAAATTATTTTTTTCCAAAAGTAATGTTATTCTATATGAGGTTGTCCAGCTGCATGTAAATTATATATTGTTTTTGTGATGTTCTCATTATCAGACACTTTCGGTTGTTGACTACAATACTGTTCAAACTTTTGGGGTCTTGTTTTTGAAAGAAGTCTCTTATGCTCACAAAGGCTGTGTTTATTTGATCAAAAATGCAGTAAAAACAGT